GAAATATCAACTTAATCATATATTGTTAGACAGATGTATGTTTGTCTCTAGAATACTCATAATATTTCATTGATCTCCTTGATAATTTCTGTGCTTGTGTCATGTTGCTTTAATTGCTGAGACTTTATAATGGTTTTAAATTTTTTAAATATTTTATAATTGACTTTGACATTTAAAAAAATAAATAAAAACAATCTGCACTTAAGAAAGAAAGAAAGAGAGAGAGAGATGGAACTCCTACCTTTTGTGACAACGTGGATGGAACTGGGGAATATTAAGCTAAATGAAATAAGCCAGTTGGTGAAAGAGTTACCATATGATCTCACCTATAAGTGGACTCTATTCAACAAAATGAACTGATGAACAAAATAAACCACAGGCATGGAAACATGGAGCAGACTGAAAGTGACCAGAGGGGATGGGGAAAGAGGACAATGGTGGGAAGAAGGGGAAGGGACTAGACAAAGAGCATGTATGAATGACCCATGGACATGGACAACAGAGTGGGAATTGACTGTGGGAGTGGGGTTGGGGGTCAGGTGAGTGGAGGGGGGTAAAGGGATAAAAACTGAGACAACTGTAATAGAATAAACATGATTTATAAATTTAAAAATAAATAAACTAAAAAAATAGTGTTAATCTCTTTGTGGGCATATGCTATGAACTGAACTGTGTTCTCTGGCATAAATCATCCCAAATAATCAATTAAAAGATGGGACAAAAGATATAAAATAATCGTTTTCACACATTTTACAAAAGTTATTACTGGATTATGATCTAAGATAAGAGAAGCACAAATGAGATGAACCCTGTGTTCACCCTGACCTTTCTTATCTGGAGATACTTTCTAGATCGTGTCCCAGTGAATGTATATGCAAAAAAAAAACAACAACAAAAAAACCCCCCGAAAAACCCCATAGCATTTGGTCAGTAGTTAGAAGCAGTCCAGAGTCTGGGAGTCAAAAGTAGCTGGACCATGTAGAGAAGCCTATAGAAGCCTATAGAAACCACACAAAGAACTCCAGAAATCTGTATAGTGGTCTCCTTGTGCCTTTGAGTATGAAGTTATGCACCTCTAAGATAAAACTCCATTAAGCTGGGCCAGGAACAAATACCTGGGAGCTTTATGCTAAACTAATTATCAGAGCTTACACAGGAATGTGAGATGCTTGATTTAAAATTGTTACCCAATGCAGGTCCAGCGGTATGCTGCAACAAAAGCCGATCTCATGAGGCAAGTGTTGGTGAGAAAGAAGGAGGTTTACTCAGGTGTCGGCCACCTGAGAAGTTATGGGATTCTCATCCCAAAGCCCATCTCCCCAGCTCAATATAGGCAAAAGGTTTTTAAACAGAGACAGGGAAAGGAGAATAACGAGCTGAAGGTGGAAGGGGTTGAGAGTGCTCTGTTGTTGAGAATATGTGCAGACCAGCATGGACTGTTCTGATAAGGACCTTGAAACTGGTCAAGTGATTGTCTGGTGTGAATCATTCTGGTTTAACTTCACCGGGTTTTATCGTTGGAGGTCAGTGAATCCCCTAGAGTGGAATCACTGAGTTCAAATTGGCATCTTTTGACATTCTGAGAATTCTAGTTCCTACAAGAATCTTGTAATATCTACAAGGTATATTTTAGTCAGAGTCTGCATTTACCAAAAAAAAAAAGTCAAAATAACAGTAGGGGGTGTTAAATTCCCCACGGTTACACACCCAGCCAGTAAAGAGATCTCTTTGAACACCTCTGGCATCCTGTGGAGGGCTAGGAGGGGTATGTGTCTTTTTTAAATTCATGTCTTATAATTTAGTCTAAGTTTAGCTCTAGAATAAAAGCTACACTTGGAATGTACTAACAAAACTTAAATCAAGCCTCAAAAGCATCAAGCCAGTCTACAAGTAGCTTTACTGGCTGCCAGAACAAACTTTAAGACATTTTAAAGAAATAACTATTAAAGCAGTCCACAGTATTCACCATTCTCTCAAAAATTACGAGACATTCATGTAGTCAGGACCATGTGTAAGAAAGGAGAAAAATGAATAGAAATAACAGGCTGATTAAATTAATAGACAAGCGTATTAAAATAGCCCTTGTAAAATTGTCCAGGGATTTACAAGAAGATGTAAACATAATGAAAAGAAAAATGAGAGGCATAAAGAAAAATTAAATAGAACTTTTAGAGATAAAAATAGGAAGTGCAAATGTATTATATAGACTGGATAGAAGACATTGAAGACAATGAGACATTGAAGTAGAAAAGATCAATGATAGAGCAATAAAACTATGAAAACTAAATCGCACAGGGAAAAAAGGTAACAAAGCCAATAACTTCTGGAACAGTATCAGCTATATAATTAGAGTCCCAGAAGGAAGGGAGGAGACACAAATTATTTAAACACATAATGGTTAAGAGTGGATAGAGACTTCCAGTCAAGATGGCAGCAGAGGTAAACACGGCCTACCTCCTTGAACAACCCCATCAAAATTACAACTAAAATACAGAACAACCATCAGTCAGAACTGTCAGAAATCGAGTTGAATGTAAGTCTGACAATTACAGAATTAAAGAAACCACATCCACCGAGACTGAGAGTGGGGTGGAGACACGGAACAAGCTGGTCCTACATCCATGTGCGGTGAATAAAAAGTTGGGAGAGATATATTGGGAGCGAGGATTCCCAGCCCCACACCAGGCCCAACAACCCGAGATTCCAGCAACCTGGCTAACACCGTTTGCCATAGTCTGGAGCTGCCCTGAGACTCCTTCCCCGCCAATTATGGGCACACTCAACCGTGATCTTTTCATGTGAAGGGCTGGTATTGGCTCATGCTTACAACTTCCAAAATCCTATCAAACAAGCAACAGCCAGCTTCAGTATGCACCCCAGGCCCCCTACCTCTTGCTATGTGGCCCCAGGCAGGGCAGTAGCAGCAGCCAGCCTAGATTCACACCTTGGCTTCACCTGGGAATCCCTAAGCCCAGCAGAAGTAGCAGCCATCTCAGAGTGCATTATGGCTCATTATTCAGGGTGGCCCCAGGGAGAACACAGCGTGCGGGTGACCTTGGCCTACCCCACCCAGGAAACTCCAGAACCCGTGCACAGAGTGAACAGCTACAGAGCATGTCAAGCACAACCACTGTGCCCCTGCACAGGAGATCCTCTGTGGAGACAGGAGGATGGTGTTTAGTGGTCATAGCCAGTCCTTGCATTTGACGGGCTGCATATGTACCTCCCATTGACCTGCCACCAGAAATCCAGGCTCAACTACAAGAGGACAGTGTCCTGAGACCACATGAAGGGCACACCCTGAGTACCCAGCTTGGGTGATAGGGGAGGCTGGGCCACTTGGAACCTACAGGACACCGGCTCCATTAGGCCACACTACCTAAATAGAGAGTCATAGCAGCTCTGTCAATATGTAGAAACACACACAGGAAGGTTGCAAAAGAGAGGGAAAGAAACATGCCCCAAATGAAAGGATAGGTCAAAACTCCAAAAAAGAAGTAAACAGAATGGAGAAAGCTGTATATGAGAAACAAGGTTCAAAACACTGGTTATAAGGATGTGCAGGGAACTTAGTGAGGACGTTGACAGCATAAAAATGACCCAGTTAGAAACACAGGATGTACTGATGGAAATAAAGAACAATTTACAAGAAAACAGCAGTAGAGTGGATGAAGCCTAGAATCAAATCAATGATTTGGAACGTAAGAAAGCAAAATAACAACAACCAGAACAAGAAGAAGAAAAACCCAAAATAATGAGGATAGTGTAAGCCTCCTTACACTAGGATAACTTCAAGCATTCTGATATTCACAGCATAAGATTGCCAAAGGCGAAGAGAAAAAGCAAAACAATTGGGAATCTATTTGAAAAAATAATGGAAGAAAACTTCCCTAATTTGGTGAAGGAAACAGACATGCAAGTCCAGGAAGCTCAGAGAGTCCAAAACAAGATATATGCAAAGAGGCCCACACCAAGACACATCATAATTAAAATGCCAATGATTAAACATAGAGAATCTTATACGCAGCAAAGGAAAAGCAATTTGTTATCTACAAGAGGATTCCCATAAGACTGTCAGCTGATATCTCAAAAGAAACTCTGTGGGCTAGAAGGGATTGGCAAGAGATATTCAAAGTCATGAAACACAGCGAATGCTCTACCCAGCAAAGATATCATTTAGAATTGAAGGGCAGATAAAGAACTTGCCAGAGAAGAAAAATATTAGAGGAGTCCATCATCACCAAACCATTACTGTCTGAAACGTAAAAGGGACGTATTGAGGAAAGAAGATCAAAAGTATGACAAATAAAATGGCAATAAATAATATGTATCAACAATTGAATCTAAGAAAAAAAGCAAACAAGAAGAACAGAGACAGAATCATGAATTTGGAGACTGTTTGATGGTTCCAGATGGGAAGAGGTAGTGAGGGAACGGGTGAAGCGGTGAGGGGATTAAAAAGTACAATTAGGTAGTTACAGGATAGCCATGGAGATGTAAAGTACAGTATATGAAATGGAGTCACTGAAGAACTTATACACATGACCTATGGACATGAACAATGGTGCAGGGATTCTGTGAGGGAGTGGGGGGTGCTGGGAAGAGGGTGGCAAAGCAGAGAAAATGTGACAACGGTAACAGCATAATCAGTTCAATAAAATAAAACGTAAAAAAGCAGAGCTAAAGAGAGAAAGAATTGGGTTGAGTGATATTTTTTTCTGAAGTTAATAAAACAGTGCATGACTCTCAAAACTCAGTGCAAAGAGCTATGGATAGAGAAAGTGATCCCAAATGAAAGAAGAGATGAACTTGAAATCAGCTGGCACAAAAAGCAATGAGAATAGTGAGATGGGTGGAAGGAAGGAGGAAGAAGCAAAGGAGGCATTCACCCAACGACTCAGGAAAACAGTTGTTCCCCATCGTGGATCGCACTCAGAGGGCTCCTTGTGCGTATTTATAACAATTACTTTGAAAGTGGAGGGAGAATAATAACTTTTGCATCAAAACATTCTTCTTCTCAGTGTTTTCTGTATGGCAGCCTTTACGTCCTTGTTCCTCAAACTGTAGATTAGGGGGTTGAGCATGGGGATCACTGTGGTATAGAACACGGAGGCCACGTTCTCCTGAGCCAGGGAACTGGCTGTGGAGGGTTTTAGGTACACGAATGCAGTAGATCCATAGAATATCCCCACAGCTGCCAGGTGAGAGCTGCAAGTGCTAAAGGCTTTGGACCTTCCTTCTGCGGTGCTGATGCGCAGGATGCTGGAGAAGATGAAGGCGTAGGAAACAAGGACTGTTAAGCAGGTGACTACGATGTTGAATCCAGCCAGAAAGAAGACGGTCATCTGAACATCATAGGTGCTAGAGCAGGAGAGCTCCATGAGGGGGGAGGATGTCACAGAAATAATGACTGATGAGGACCTCACAATAGGGCAGTTGTATCATTAAGCCAGTCTCTATTGTTGAGCCAACAAGCCCCATGACGTAGACCACAGCCACCAGCAGGGAGCAGACGTGATGAGACATGATAATGTTATAAAGCAAAGGCCTACAGATGGCAACGTAGCGGTCATAGGCCATCACGGTCAGCATGTAACACTCGGCGATGACAAACACAATGAAGAAGTAGAGCTGTGACATGCACCCTGCATAGGAGATGATGTTCTTCTCTGACAAGAAGTTCACCAGCATTTTAGGGGTAATGACAGAGGAGTAGCAGAGATCCACGAGTGAGAGATTGCTGAGGAAGAAGTACATGGGCGTGTGAAGCTGAGCATTCAGACCAATCAGTGTTATCATGCCCAGGTTCCCTATCATGGTGACCGAGTAGATCCCAAGGAAGAGGAGAAAGAGGGGGAGCTGGAGCTCTGGTCTCTTTGTTAGTCCCCCGAGAATGAACTCTACCACTGTAGAGTGATTTTCCGCAGCCATTCTCCTTTGTTTGGGAGCCCTGCGGGGGTAAGAGAGAACCCCGTGAGGGCTGCATCATGAGGGGCTGCTTGGTGAACCTAGTTTTGCGCATGTGGAACCAGCTGAATGATTCCGGGCTTCCTTGACGCATCCTTCCCTTACCCTGCTGTCTGTGGGAGGAAGACCAGATCCTGAGTGTTTCAGAGTTAAAGGAGATGGGAGGGAAGAGGGGCCAAGGTCTGGATCTTTTAACACTTGCATGTTTCCCAGATATCCCGGAGCATTTCTTAAAGTGTAGTTCCCGGACCGGCGGCATTAGCATCGCCTGTGGTTAGAGAGGCAAACTCTCAGGCCTCACCCCAGACCTACCAAGTCAGAAACTTTGGGGGTGGCGCCCCTCATCTGGGTTTACCTTTCTCTCCAGGCGATGCCAATGCATGCTAAAGTTCGAGACCCTCTACCCTGTAGATGACAAGCAGTATATTTCATATTTTGTGGCTGGAGAGAGATTTTGCTTAAAAAATGAAATTTAGCTGTCATCTCTGCAGTTTGTAAATGTTTACTGAATACGAATGTATGAATACCATGTCAGATTGATGCAGCGTCAGGATGATACTGTAGTTGAAACTGCGTTGGTGAGTACAAATTGGTGTTTGTATCTGAAAGGTGAAGAAATTAAAATATCAATTCCAAAAACAGTTGTGAAACTAATATTGGAGAATGCCCATTCAGAAATTTTGTTCAAGCACTCAGCGGCTATCCAAATGTGGTTGTCATTAGGTTGTCAGAATTTGTTCTTTGTTTTTCACTGAACTTGAGGCCAGAAGCCAGTGGTTCTCAACATTGATTGTATAACTACCGGCAGCATTTAAGAGTGAGGAATGATGTCTGGGTTCCCCCAGCAGAGGTTCTGATTTCTTTGGAGTGTTGCAGCCTGGGCCCGGGCAATAGTATACTCCTGGTTAAGTGCCGATCATCATCCTCATCCTCATCCTCATCATCGTTGTTATTTTCAGATCATAATATTAAATAAACCATGGCCCCATTATCTACCTACGGGCAAAGTACTCACAGTATAGACATGAAACTAGGAAGCATGGATCTTCATTGCTGGACGTGATACCTAAAGACAAACTGTCTCTGAGATATATTTCATAAGCTAAAAACCATAAACCCTCACTATTTTAATGCTTCGTTATATAATCACTAACTTTTCTCTAGTGCTCTTTCAAGGTCCATGTTATTAACCCCTCCTAAAATTTTTGGGTATGAGGAGAAATGTGTTTCGACTAGGGTTTTCATTCCCTTTTTCATATTGAGACAGCAGAAGTGCCAGACTCTAAATTATTGGGACTTTGGACGCAGACTGCTCTTTGATCATTAGCTTCTTCCCTTGGCCCAAGTGTGTAGCCTTATACATCTGCACACCCAGAGCTCTAAGAATTGTAGTTCAATGGGCTTTGCTCTTGATATCTCAGATGGTGCACAGTCTAGAAAATAAGAGGAATCTATATTATTTATTCCATTCTCTAGGAAATGGAAGCTCTAACATTAAATAAGTTATCCTATCATGCAGTGGGCAAGAGGCAGAACTGGTCCCCAAACCCAGGACGTCTGAGTACCGGTTCGTTTTCTTCGTCTAAGCTATGTTGTTTTGCTGTAGCTTCTCTTTGTGTAGAGATTTATTCTCTCTACTAAATTTAAGTTACTGAATTTTCAGAGGTAGGGGAAAGATTTTATTGCCAATCTTGGGTACACAGAAGAAAATCACCAAGGTAGTATATGTGAATTGTAAAAAATGAGAAATACAAATAAGCAAAATAAAGAAATAAAACAGAAGGAAAAAAAGAGAAGAAAAAAGGAATAAAGAAGAAAAAAAGAAAAGTAAAAAAAGAAAGAGTTAAGAAGAAGAAATACAAGTAACCAAAAATAAAATACCATTTTTCTCTCTGTGGAGACAACACTGATAATGACTACCCTTCCAGATTGTTCAGTGCGTATATGTATTTACGTGTGTATCAGTGTATCTGTATTTCTAAAACCATTTTCACCCTCTTTTTAATGTAGCAATTTAAAATATTTTGTCCCATAACTTTGGCACTCTTTCTTTTTCTTACGTGTAAGGGTCTTTAAATCCTTAGGATGTAGGTAAAGAGAAAATCTGCATTGCATTGTAACTTTTATTTAACTTTTCATTAGTGGGGTATTTAAGAGGTATTTAACTTCATAGTAACTACCACCAGAGATAGCTGAGTTATTTGACTGTTATTTCCACTTGTCACAAAGGAGAAGATAGATTTCCTCTCGGTAACAGTAGATGAAAAATTCTTACATAGCCCCTTGTACCTAATTTATGCCTCTTAAGACAGTCAAAAGATAGAAAAATCCACCCTGAATATACTGTTACCCGAATTCCGAGTGTTGTACAAAACAGAGCAGCGGTGATGCCATTCACCCAGCACAGTGCCAATGGCATTGATTTCATCTTCACACCCATCCTCATCTAATGATATAAATAGGCAAACGTGAGCCGCTATTTGATATGTTATTGTAATGATTACCTCTACTTTCACCAGACCATCAGAGGCTCACGATCGCTGTTGATGAGAACACAACACACAAAGAAAAAACACTTAGAGATGAAGGTACACATAATGTTGGAAATATCCTGCATTGAAAACAGGAGGTCATGAGAGAAATATTGTTTTCATAAAGTTGTTTTAAATCTGTCAGTACCTGTGCTGAGGAAAAATGGACAGTGTCCTGGCAATGTTAGAGGACGTCCTTGGTTTCAAGAATCAGCAAATAAATATCAGAAAATGAGAGAACGTACGTACAGATTTATTTCTACTTCTGCATGTACTCAAAGGGGCTATCACAGCCATAAAAACGGGGGCCCCTGCGGTTGGGAGACCGGGGCGTCTTTTATATGTATGTGAGCAGCACCTCTCGTGGGATGAAGTCACTGCAGAGACCGGAGCCCTTACTACAGGCGCAATTAAAGTCTTGGTTCGCACCTCTGCTGCGAATCATGTTTGGTCTCCCAGGTGTGGTAATTTTCCTCTCAGTGAGAGAGTCCTCTGGCAGGTTGGAAAACTTAGAATGGAACGCCAGCACGCAGCTGTCTTACAAACAACAACCCGGTCATCCCCGTCATCGTCATCCCCCCTCACCGCCGCCGCCGCAGCACCGCCTCATCATTACCATCGGTCGCATTACCCAGCTCCCACCACACGCGTATTCATCTCCAGGCACAATCAACGAGGCCTTACATGTTTATCTTAAAGGGTTTTTGAGCGACTTCAAATATTTTACTAACACTAACCATGCAATATAGCAAAGGGATGTGAATTCATAAGGGATGTTAAAATGTCACCCTGCCACTATACTGCATGCTGACAGCGTATAAGGTCAGGGGGTGGAGGGGCATGAGTAGATAGACTTAGGAGGACTCTTCACACATATATTGCCATTCAGAAGTTAAATATGTTCATAAGAAAATGTACTTTCCAAGAATATGTTGTGTAATATATTATCCATGAAAATAGTGCTAATGAAGATTTTTTTATTAAACTGTTTTCAGATAATTACAGGTACACCTGCAATTGCAAGAAATAATATACAGAGATCCTGTGTACCCTTTATACAGTTTACCCCAGTGAGAACATCTTGCGAAATTATACTACAACATCACACTCAGAAGAGTGCATATTGCCATAAACAATTCACTGATCTTACTCTGATTTCCTCATTTTTGCCAATAGTCACTTGTATGTGTATGTATGCATTTAGTTTCATGCAATTTTGTCATATGCATAGGCTCGTGTATCTACCACACAGTTCAAATAAAAGCACATCACTTTCCTTTTCTATTATTCAAAATAATGTTTGGGTTTCTTATTTTCCTCCAAAGGTGTCTAGTTATTTTTCTTCAGCATCCTTATACTCTCACTAATATAAACATATTTTATGTGTTTCAGTCCATTGCCATTATTATCTCTAGGTGGCTCAAAATTTTGTCTTTGGCCTGTGGAATTCTCTTCAGTGTTTCTGTTGAAAAACAGTGCTATTAGTCTGTAATACCTCCCTTGTTCTGATGTGACAAGATGTCTGAGCTCATCTCACACATTTCATTCTTCAGACCCTGAAACAACTGTTTCCTCAAGAAAGTTGCTTTCTTTTAGTGGTAATATGGTGTTTCAAGGCAAAAACTTGGGTGCCAGAGAGGGTCATTGTTTCTGGGTTATTGTTTCTAAGTCTTTTTGAAAAAGAACTAGGAAATGTGGACTCCATTTTTCTCAAAGGATTTTTTTTTTCAATTATAAATAAGAAGAACCAATAATTTTACCAGGATATATTTTGATATTTATTCTTAGGCAATTTCCTTAGGTATGATGTTTCTTTTCAATATGTGACTTTGAATCTTTTTTTAAATTTAGAAAAATTTTCTTGAATTATACATTTTTCAGTTGGTTCTGTCCCTTGCCTTTGTTTTCTGTAGGGCTCCTGCTCTAGGTAAATTAGATCTTCTTTACCTTGTATCTGCATTTGTTACTTTCCTGTAAATCCTCTTCAGTTTTTTAAAAACATAATTTACTTATCTTTTTCTCTTCATGTTTTCCTTAAGGTATTATTTGATGTGTTATTTGTTCTTCTCTAACTTCTAATTTAGTCTTAATTTCCTAAATTACTTTTCTTTTATTTCTAATAATTTCCTGAGTTCTATTACCTATATATGAGTTTTTAATTCTGATTTTTTCTTTTATACCTTATATCATTTTTAAAAAATTAATTTAGAGAAAGAGAGCAAAAGAGAGAGGGGGAGAGAGAGAAAGGGAGAAACATCTATTTATTGTTCTGCTTCCTGATGCATTTATTGGTTGATTTTTGTATGTGCCCTGATGGGAGATGGAAACCTCAACTGTGGTGTATTGGGAACATTGTTCTAATCAACTGAGCCAGACAGTCAGGGCTCTTGTATCATTTTCAAAAAGTGTTTTACCTCCTTTTGAAATATTATAATGCTATTTGTTTTTGTTTTTTTT